CCCTCACACGCGTCGTGACCCAATAGGGAGCTCCACCGAAGGCTCCAGTGGCTGCGTTCGCATGGCACCGCGGCATCCGTTTCGACGCACTCCTCCCGCGTTTCGTGGCCCCATAAGGGGGCTCCACCGAAGCCCCCAATGGCTGCGTTCGCATGGCACAGCAGCGCCCGTGTCCGCACACCCATCACGCGCTTCGTGGTCCCAACAATTATGAAGGGGCCCCAGGACACACAAATAAATACACACAAATAAAAATGTTCCCCATATTTTCCCATATTTTCTGGGTTTCTGTCTTCCCCCCCACTTCCCATATTTTCCCATATTTTCTGGGGAATCGAGGATTAATTGTGTCTGTGTGTTTTTTCCTCTCCTGAAACTAGGGAGCTCCACCATAGGTCCCGGCTGCGTTCGCATGGCATCGCCGCGCCCCTTCAGGCACACCCCTCACGCGCTTCGTTCCCCCCGAGCGGGCTCCACCGACAGGCGTGCGTACTCACAACCGCGCTACTCACAACTGCATACACCCTGTGAAATGCTTAAGAAATCATGGGTTAAGAAATTCAGAGTCTCAGAACTTGAATAAAAGCCCAAAAATTCCATTCAAATCTTAGGATTTACATTGAAACATTAAGAATAATCAAGACTCTGGCCGAACATTTAAGTTTTCTTAAGCATCGCCTAAGGTGCACGGTTGGGTTCTTTGCCAGGGCAACTCTCTTTCCGCCAAAGCGTGTCATAGTGAGCCCGGAACTCCAAAGAGGCCTCCTATCGACGGATGCGCAATCGGCAAGAAAGAGAAGCTGCGTACACAGACGGAGGAGGGTGGCGGATGAGCAGGAGGATGAGCAGGAGAAGCCGGAGGATGAGGAAGGAGTAGGACGAGGACGACCGGCAGCAGCAGGAGCTGGAGTGGAGGGAGCGGGAGGAGCAGCAGGGCCAGGGGAAGGCGGAGGAGGGGCACCGAGGTGGGCGACAACGAGGGAAAAACGGACTCGGATCCCCCCCAAAACGCACCTTTCTTAGTGAGGAGGGGCCGCCAGAGAGAGGGGGGGAGAGGGAGAGAGGGGGGGGGCGGGAGAGAGGGAGGGAGAGGGAGAGGGGGGGGAGAGAGAGAAAGGAGGGGGGGGGCGAGCGGGGTGGAGGGCAGGGGGGAGGGTGGGCGGGAGGAGGGGAGGAGGGGGTGTGGGGGACGGAGCGTGACGACGACGAACGCCGGAGTCGAGCGTGCTCCTCTGGGGCGCCCCCGTGCCCATTAGGGCATGGCGTGGAAGCCGCGGACTCGCGTGATAACCACAGCTCGGTGCTCCCAGCCGCTGATAAACACCGCAGGTCGTTTGTGCTGTTGTGTTGGTGTTGCCGTGGTTGGGTCGCCGCTCGAACCTGCTCCTGCCCGGTGTCGGCGTCGCAGTGATGCCCGTGTCGTCCCATCGTTTTTGTTGCCCTCCATGTTGCTGTCGTCCTTGTTGTCGCTTGTTGAGATTTGGGCTCCAATGAAGCACTCTAAGTGTCCAGCGCGTCGAGCTATCATATTCGCCCAGCGCCATGTCATCCTTCGGCACACGTGGATTGCATTCGGTATGTCATGTTGAAGTCCGTGTACTCATGCGGATGAAGTCGGACCACAATTCGACGTCCACGTTCTCAAAATTGCACAGTTGCGTGCTTCCGTCGTCGCTGACGTCGTCCTGCGCGTTTGGCTGGTGGGCAGGCGGGTTGCTGCAAACGTCGGACTCGCTGGAGTCGTTTGGGGCCGTGTTGCTGGTGGGCGTGTCTCCGGATTGTGTTGTGGTGTGGTGTCGGTGTCGCTGCCGTGCGTCTCTTTGGTGTTCCGACTATGGTTCTGACCATCCGTCGCGGTGTTGTGCGTAACTGCTGCTTGAGAGGCTCTGTCAGAGTCCACGTTTCTGATCATCACGTCATAATAAGGATGACGGTGCCCCTGTATAGTCGTAATCGGTGTCGCAGTGGATAGCGTTTGCTGGTGAGTTCTTGTCTGTGGCTGCTGAAACATGCCCATACTGAGGGTGGGGCTGGAGAGAGAGAGGGCGGGCGGGGTGGCTGGAGGGGGGGGGGGAGGGGGTGAGGGAGGGGGGGGGCTGGAAAGAGAGAGAGAGAGAGAGGGTGGGAGGGGAGGGCGGGCAGGCTAGGTGCGCAAGCGTCTTATATGACTTCCTACCCCTTCCTCTCATCCCTTACCATGGCGTAGATATCCTCTCTATTCTGGCAGTCTGATGTCGTAGCATAGCATAGCATGACATGGCAGAAGATGGCGTTGGAGATCAACGCGTAGCATGACGTAGCATGGCGTGGCACTGCGTAGTCAAGCACTGCATATCAGAGCATGGCAGCTGAAGAGATGACATCGCGCAGCGGAACATACTATAGTATTGCATTGCATGCCATGGCACTGGAAATGAGGCCAGCGCTGCAGCGGAAGCACGATTCGGAACGAGCGGAAGTGCGGAAATGAGGTCAGCGCTCAGCGGGAGCACGATTCGGA